AATAAACTTAATTTAAAAAAATAAAAAGGTCTTAGTTAATGTGGCACAGAACTGTCAGTATGCCTGAATATCACAGAAGTAAATGGACATTCAAGAGTAAATGTAAATCATGGATTGGATCTTGAATAATCCAGAAAGTATTCCATTGTGTGAGGTATATGCTATCCAAGAGGAAAAGAACCGTATCCATTATACTTTTATATATTTCCTCTCAATAGCCCCTACAAGTAGTAAATGTTCCCACCTTTAAAGTTTAAGCACTAAGAAATACACCCAACCTGTCAACTGTCTTTTAAGCATGTAAAATTCTATTTCCTGAATAGCTACATCTACTACTTCTCATTCTGATTTTATATTTTAGAACAAGTTTTTTCCCAGCTACTTCAGACTGCCTTGATGGCAGGTCTGGTGCATCTTCTAGAGCTGGAAATCAAACTGCAGTCCTATGTGCCTGCCTGCATGTGCCCAAGCAGTGCTTTAAACACCTGAGCTATCTAGCAAAGCGCCTGATTTTATATTTTGATGTGTGTTCCAAGACTCTAATTTTTATTTCTGTGTTCATTTTATTATATTCCTTTAAGCCACTTCAAATTTCTTGGGAAATAACATGGCATAGAATAAATAATCAATTCCAAATCATAAAAAGTGCTTTTATTTTTAACAAGGCAATGCATAGTACATTTCAGATGTGCTTTGAGTTGTGACTATTCTACTTGAAAGTCTCTATTTCTCCCTAAACTGATCTGTCCCCAACAATGAGTCATTGAGCACGGGTTGCCATTGCCATTTCACCTCACCAAGTCAAGAAAATGCTCACAACTGTCATCTGTGTGTAGCTTGACTTTTCAAATATTTTATCAGCTGCTGAAGGGTGGTAAACAGCTTTTTCTGTATTCACTGTATTCTCTTACATACTTAAGACAAGTATCTGTCCCCAACAATGGGGAAGGTATTCTGGGATGGGAAGTCTTGGGGACTAGTACTTGGATTAGAAAACAGAAAATCAGTCGATTATGTTATGGTGCTTACTGGTGTCACCCAGTGGCTGTTCTTAAGATGTAGCAACTCAAAACCCAAACTTAAAACCTCTCCTCCTGGATATGACCTGGACCTGA